GCCCCGCCAAGCTTAAATCCGGCCCTGCTCAATATTGAATTTTTTTCAAAAATAGTGAGTTCTTTGATCATGTTTAAAATAATTTGTTTCAATCTAAAAAACAGAAATCTAAAAGAAATGGAACAAATTTAGCTAATATTTATCATTTTTATTCACAATTACTGCATTCATTATTATTCCTTTAGGTTGTCTTAACTATTGAATAAATTATGAGCATACAAAGTTTCATAAAAAATTTTATTCTGTATGTATCACATATGTGTGCCAAACAATTTGTACTCAATAATTTTTTTATTTAACATGCATAATAAAATTACTATAACTCATTGGAAGATAATTCAGATTAGCAAATTAAGTACAATTTAAATTATCTTTATTTAGATTTTAATTTGAAATTGAATTTTTTCATTTAATTAACTTCTCAAACTGCTTGTATATTTTATATCTATAATTGTATTTTTTTCATTCTGAAAATCCTAAGATTTTTCACAGTTAATGATTAAGTCTAAATGGACAATGTAAAGCAAACCAGTCATATTTCTTCTGTCTCTTCATAAAATACTAACTAATAAAATACTTTGCTATTCTTTTTACCAGGTGATTCAATTATTTAGCTAATTACTTAAATGTTGAGCGAAAGAGGGATATTGAGGTCGTTTTCACGCCTTGGAATCAATGTGGACAAATTTAGGTTGCAGTTGTGAAGAGCGATTATGATTTTGCCTTAATTCATGATGGTAAGTTAAAATGTTGTTTATTTACATATTCAATGATTATGTATCTAAACTGTTGGTATTGCTTGTATCTTATGTAACTATTCTAATTCAGATAATGATTTTTTTAACATTATTTATGGTTGTGCTATTAAATAATAATTTATTTTGCTTATCTTAAGAATAAAGGTACTAATGATGTGCAATTGGGTACAATGGCCAACTTTAAAAAACTGACTTTTGTGGCTAATAGGGGAGATTTCGTATGGTGATCTGTGGGAGAATAATTGCCAAATCTTGGCAACTTCGAGGCAGTCAGCTGCCAGGATCTAAAAAAATAAACCACAGAAGGGGACAAGCTCAAAAGATTTGACTCGTAATTTTTTTTTAATTTTCAAGTTTAAAATCTATTTAGCACCTTGACGATTGTGGTTGGCACGACAAATCTCAATAAGGAAATATTCCTGAGTTGTTGTTCTTGAACGAAGAGTTGAGAAATTTCTCTCGCTGAAAGATCAGAGTAGGCAACAGCATTTTGTTAATTTTGAGAACGTCACTATAAAGCGATTCAATGAAGTAATGAAAACTTTGTGAATTTTACTTGGGCTAATGTTCTGTGAATCAGCTTTATCTGTAGATGACTGTATTGGTTAAGATCACATTCATTTAAACTGCCAAAGCCATATTCAACTGGCTAACATCTTGGAAGAATGCATAGCAAAGTTGCTAAAAAGGGTGTTATACACAACTTTATATACTGATTTTATGAAAATATCGTAATCTCGTCTTGACATTTAGCCAGATCACCAGAACTGCAACAGATTTAGTACTCTGATGCTGTAAAGAAAAATATTCAGAATATATTCAGTAGAGAGTGTTTTTTTTTTTTTTAATATTCTTATTTGTGCTACTTCACACAATGTAGAAAAATGTTTAGATGCAATAGAATATTTTATAACTGGTTCTCTCTCAACGATTCTGGCTCTGCCCTTGAGGGACAGAGGGAAGATTGTTTAGAGCATTGTCCCTGAATTATAAATACTCTTTCACTTTAAATGCCTTTGGTAAAATATACTAAATGAATAATGAACTGTTTCAAAATAGCAATGGTATGTTGTTTAGCACTAAAGAGAGAGGTTAAAAAAATTTGAGGATTGCACAGAGATTAATCTAATTCTCTTTTTTGTTAAATGATATGTAGATTCAACAAAAGCCAATATGAGTGTCTCAGTTAGTATCTTTCTCTATTATAACTATAAAGTTTTTTTATTTTGATTATTCGAGGAATTGTATATTTATAACCGTGGCATTTTACCTTAATTGTTGTGAGTTTTTTCCCAACTATATTGTTATAGTGCAGTTTGTTTACTGTTAGTACAGCACTGTTTGTAAATTATTTTAAATAATTAAAGACAGAATGAGTTAAATTATCTTCTAATGTTTATCAGAATTTGTCTTTAATCAAACCCTGGTTAAGAAAAAGACAGTGTTCAACAAAATAGTATATTACTCTTTTATTAAAAAAATATTTATTCCTTTTGTTTTATCAGTGGCGTTTATTGCATTCTAAATAAAACTGATTTAATGTTTGATCTAGATACTAATAAGTTTAGAAAATTAATTTATGATTTTATTCTTGAAAAAGGTTTAGAAAATAATATTCATTGAGGAACTGGTAATCTCGACAGAATATAAATGATTAGATACTAAAAAACCAGGGGCAATGCAAACACATCAAGATGTATTTGCTCACCATTGAAAGTCAGTGTGGGTATAACACAACATGCACACTCCACAATCAGTCATGGACTTGTTCGCCTTTAAGGAGCCTACGTTGCTGATTACCATGCACGCCATACAGTTGTCTCTCGGGTAAACGGTGTGCACACCAACTGAACAATTGGCTGTGAGGTCATTTATGTTGTGGGAAGAAAGTATTTTTAAAAAAATCTGTGCTGTGACTAACTATTAAATGTTGTGATGTAATGTCCTGTGATTGTCTTGTTCTTAAAGCCATTAATCTTTATGTGTAAACCCTGATGGATACTGCGATAGAAGTATTAAATAATTTTAATCAGATACTTTCTCTCTCTTTCAGATGTAAGTAACCTGCCTAAATTGGAGATCTGCAAAAAGAATTGAAAAGAAGTATTTGAGCAACAAACCTAACATTGCAATAATCCTTTTTTATGTCTTGATTTTTAAGTGACAGATGTTTCAAATCCCCAAGTATGAGTATACTTCCGACCAAAAGAGTTGTGAGACCCCTCTGAAAGCCTGCCATATGCATGGAAAAGGTGGATATACAAGGTTTTTCCTCGTTAATGTGTGCTTATAGCACTTTTCTGGTAATTAAAAATGTTCTCTTAAAATGTATACTTCTGTTCTAAATGTCACTCTTTCAATCTGTAATTCAAGTTGATTTGAACTAGTGTATGCAGTCCTTTATTAGATTCACAATTTGAAGAGTTGTACTTTTATCTATGTGCTTAACCATTGGTTGAAATCTTAACCAGGTATCTTGATTGCAATATTAATTCGAAGCAGCTTGTTCTCTTCTAGCTTTTGACTGGATTCAACTTATGATTCATATTTGTCCCGGGGAATGGTCTCACAGCATTGTCTGCTTAAAGCTTTTCTGTGAGATATATTTACCAGGACTTGTTTTGACAATGATGTATACAGATTCTCATTTAGTTTGAAGAAAATCTCTGTGCCGTAACAAGATAACACTTCAGTCATTGATTTTGCAATATGTATTAAATATAATTGTATATTTTTAAATTCATAAAAATAATTAAGCTCTTTATTTTCTGGCACGATTGTAAGCTATTAATATAATTGAAGTCTTCTATTGGAATCTGATCCACTGCAGAATTTTAAGGTAACATGATTTCTATTTTTCTATCTAGAAAAATGTAGTCACATCTGCACCTGCAAGCATCTTCATAGAGTCATCTGGCTACCATACTCTTTGTCTATATATTGTGTAAGAACAAAAAGAGATATACATGCTTCAAATTCTCTGATCCAATTTGATAAATTTTTTTTTTCTTACTATTTCATACTTTTTACATATGCTGTACTCATACCACTAAAAAAGAATAAATAAATCTATTCAAAAGAAAATGTATCTCATTTATGTATCCTTTCTTAAAGATGCATATGTAGAGAAAGATACTATTTTATAGTATATATTTATCCAAGGTGCTACTACTATAATACTATAGCTCTTTCAATTTAAATGAATGTCAAGTTCGAATTTAAAGCTACTATAATTAAAATTTAGAAAATACATTCAATAGTACGTTTGTAGAAGTTATTTGACTGAAATATTGATAAGTATTGAACAAAAGCTAGCCCTTGACCTGAGAAAAAGCCCGAGTTTCGGGGGCGTTAGTTAACTTATTTTTAACGAACTAATTTTTATAAACTTATTTTTAACGAACTTTTTTTATTCTCAACTAACTGAATATCCGCTCTTCGAACAGGATTAATAAAATAGAAAATCAATAACTCGGTACTGAACAACGAAATGAAATCTTGGACAAAACTAAACGGTATATACTGTCAAAATTAATAAGCAAAAACATAGCAAAACCTGTTTATTGTAGCTCAGCCAATTAAAATTGAGATTAACTGTATTCAGCATTATTAGGTATAATATTGAAATTTACCATTAACTTGGAATTTTCGTAAATAAGTAATTTTTTTAATTTATATAATAGGTATTTACCCATATTAAGCATCATTGGCAACAATAATAGCATGGCGCTTGTTTACGATTAATCTAAACGAATAAGTACCTGAACTCCATGAATGTTGCTTTTTGTAACATGGCTTACTTTTTAGTATTTCATTATGCATCTATTACATTACTTAATTGAATTGAGCGTCAGCGTTAACCCTTTGACTCAGAATTTTCATTAAATATATTTTTAATTTCCTTGTATTTATTCATGTCAGAATAAGTGAGAAATATATTTAGAATTTTAATAATATATGGTGAGATGAAATATAACGTGAAACACCATGTCTTTTTCTGCATAAAAGGTCAAATATTTCATACGCGGCTCATTTCCAAACAATTTAACTAATATGCAGTTATTTAAATCTTTGCGAAACAGTTATTTATAATTGAAACTTCTCTAATTTACAAAATCATTAATACATTTTTGAATATGAATTAAAAAAAAATTTCGAAACTAATAATTTTGAATTTTATATTTCAGTAAAATATATAATTCCGTATTCTAACAAATCTTTTTTATCAACTGTTTGACTTTTTATTTTAAAAGAGAGAATACCAAAAAAATATATATTCTTACTAGGAATTAAAAGGCCAGAGAAAAATAGAGGGACAACGGTTAAAAAAACTAAAGTAATTTTCTACGTTTCTCCTAAGCAAATTGGTACCACTTTTCCATTAAGTTCGCCTTTCATTGCATAAGTAATTTTTATTTTAATTACCGCTGTTTTTAAATTATTTACTTAAACCGAAACACATTTTGAAAGACGTGACAAATTAAATACATGATTTCAGGTAACTTTAGAGATAATTTGGTGACATAGTGCTACCACGTAAATTTTGTTCATTGTTGTTGTTGTAGTTAATTTATGTCGCACTAAAGCTGCTCAATGGGCTATTGGCTACGGTCTGGGAATCATCCCTGAAAATCATCTGAAGACATGCCATCACAATTTTGAACTCTGGAGAGGTGAGACTCCCGTCACTTCGATAGACCGACGACATGCGCGTGAAGTCAAGTACTTCAGTAGAACATTTTAACGATACCGCACACCCTCGGTCCCTTCACAGATTGATCCAATTAAGTCTCTCTCACCCGCACTTCGGTGATCTGCTGGGAACCGTGTCAATTGCGGAACTGTTGTTGATTGAAATTATGACATAGCGAAAACTAAATAACGTACAAGCAATATCTCTTTTTTTTATATTATTAAATAGAGCTATATAGTATCAATGATGCTATCTTTAAGATTTTTGAGGAAACAACGGCTAAGGCTTAACCAGTCAACCCCGCTTAGAGGAATATCATCAGTTCCAGCCAAATCTATGCAATTGAGCGGGTTGTTCGATTAAAAGGAGAGTGCAATATTCTATCCTAAATTTCTGCGAAATTTTACTTTTAATGGTATTTAATCCAAAGTATAGTGTTTTGATTAAATAAACTTAGTTTTATGATCAATAAACAATTTTGATTAATAATATCTGTGTTAGTATCATAAGATATAAATGTCATTTAAAGTTATATAAAAATAAATCAATATTAGTGAATAGTATAATATATAGGTACTAAAATATTATTTGATCCCTTTCGAAAAAATCTATAATTGAGGACTATTTTTATACCCGTTTAATTCGACAATTTATCAAAATTAGATTTTCCCTTTCAGTTTCTATTAAGACTTTCATGAATAATTGCGTATTCCTTTCAAACGCATATTCATATTATTTATTTTTAATTTTTTTTTCCAACCTCGTCTTGAGAATTTCCAAATTAATGAACTATTTTAGTTTGGAATTTTTTTAAATATATCGTTTCCTAGATTCATTGTCCCCCCCCCTCCCCGATTAATTCAAATCCATCCTTTTCTCGCTGAACTTGCAACCATTCTCAGAGTTATTCTCTGGATTAAGCAATAATTATTCTTACTTAAGAGAAAGACACACTGTATACTGATATGTTACGTTCTTGAAATTTTTTCTTATGAAAGCTAATAGCGCACCAGGAGGGGACCACAAATCTTGACTACAAAACAAATCACTCGGCACCTTTTTAAAATTCTAAATGATGTGTAAGTAAGTACAATTTGTATAAAGTAAGAACTCTCCTATTCGTCTGGACCCGTGGCGGTGACTATGGTATAGTCCATTCCACCTTAAGTTGGCACTGGAGAGAAAGGTAGGTAGACCGGATTACATGGAAACTGGGTTACTCTTTAAGTCAGTACGGGGATGAGGTAGCAACAAATGGAGAGAAAGTGGCCTGTATTGGCGTTTAAGAAAGCAAAACGCCGATTTTTTTTTTAAAAAACCAAGAATCGTACTAAACTTTTGTACAGAATACGGAAAAGAGCACAATTTTTTAGAGCATTTCTCATAATTATTATTTTAAGATACTAGTTGTAAGCTGATTTCTTAATTAGTATTTAAAAAGCAGATTTTCTTATTATGATTTTTTAAGTAAACGAAACTAATTTTAAACAGAAAAAAAAAATATATATTTAAAAATATTCTTTTTTGTTGAAATCTAAGTGAAAAAAAAAAAGAAATGCATAGATACGCAAAAATACTTTGCTTTAAATATTTATTTTTATATTCTTATTCTTTATAGATTAATGTACATTGATTTATCCCACATTGGTGATTTGTTGGGGAAGGAAAAGTCAACATAGGCTGGAAATTATTGATCATGAAAAAGATCATACTTATGTTTTATAATACTTACTGTTTTTTTTTTCTTATTATAATTTCTTAATTAAACGAAACTAATTTTAAACAAAAAAAAATATGTTTAAAAAGATTCTTTTTTGCTGAAATCTAAGTAAAAAAAAACGAAATGTATAGATGCGCATAAATACTTTGTTTTAAATATTTATTTTTATATGCTTATTTTTTGTAGATTAATGTACATTAATTTATCCCTCATTGGTGTTTTGTTGGGGAAGAAAAAGTCAACATAGGCAGGAAATCATTGATCATGAAAAATATCATACCTATGTTTTTTTAACATTTACTGTTCTTTTTTTTTATAAATAAAAAATTTTCAGAAAAGTTTTTTTTTTTTACCATAAAATTTTTTTTTATCTGAAATATATTTGCTTCCAAGAAACAAAAGAACTTACCTGAAAAAAATAATTAGTATTATCCATATGGGGGGGGCGTACTGTTTGTCCCCCCCCCATGTTTTTAGCTGCCATATCCCACCCTCTTAGACTCAACAGGAACTCTTTGAATAACATGATAACCACCTATCCTGGTGGTTATCATGTTATTCATTTAATATGCTTTAATGCAAACTCTATGTGGGGTAGCCCTGAATTGAATTCAATCCACAATTTCTCATCAGGCGAAATTCTACTTGGATGGGTGGGCGCATTTCTTCAAAAGAAAATACATATTTTGAAATATCAGAACTTTCCTTTACTTTTCAGGATCTTTGCTATTTAAGTACAGTAGAATTAGTTAGCCTCGAAATATTTTGTCAGATACTGAAATATCTTAATATTTTCTACATAAGGGAAAGGATTTCTCAGCTTTTTGGGCTTTGTATTTCAAAAATAATTATTAAAATATTGATTGGCTTGACCTTTCGATGTTTAAAAAAAATTAATGATTCAAATTTTGCGTCTTTTTTGAAATTATTTCAATTCCTATACATTTCATTAGTTTATAAGTAACGGATTAACACTTCTATTATGGAAATTGTATTTCAGATAATATTTAAAAGTCCCTTTAATTGAACAAACTAAAAATCTTAAATTTTTACATTATTTAAGTTCCTATGAAAAGCGAATTGTACTTCAGAACTAAACATGGCGCAAAAGACGCAAAATTTGAATCTTTACAGAGATCGAATAAAGCGAAAACAATTTTTTCTTTTGTCGTAAAAAAATAATAATAAAATCACATGTTGAATTAGCTA